TATTCATTGCTATGATACTTCACCTTGTTGATGGGAAGCTTCCCACCGGAGTGGAAATTATCTATCAGACAGATAGCAAGCTATTTAATCTCAGTAGACTGAAAGCCAAAACCAAGGTTACAACAACATCTGTTATAGAACTCCAGTATGCTGATGACAACGCTCAGAAGAAGACCTACAAGCCACTCTAAACACCTTCGGAGAAGCATATGAGAAGCTTGGCCTGTCACTGAACATCGAGAATACCAAAGTGCTCTTCCAGCAGTCACCAATTTCTCTCCAATGCCAGAAATACAGCTTAATGGTGTAACATTCGAAAATGTTGACCATTTCTGCTACCTTGGCAGGTACCTCTCCACCAAAGTCAACACTTACACCGAAATACAACACCGGCTGAGCTCTGCGAGTCCAGCATTTTTCCAAATGAAGCAGAGAGTGTTTGAGGGCCGGGACATCCATAGGAATACCAAGATGCTTGTTTATAAAGCCTGGGATATAGGGTTGTGTGGAAGGGTCCTAAGTAATGTTTGTGGACTCAGCTCCCCAAAAATCTTTTTTATTGCACATCAACTGTGTGGGAGGCGGCCTAGAGGGCAGGTGGGACACTGGTAGATGATATTTCTATCCTCATCTGACCAACCATCTTACTCCCAAGTGACCCTGTACAAGTCACAAACTATAAGCCTCCGAAAACCCCATGGTACACCTTTGGATGATACATCAAAAATGGCCTGAAGGCATACAGCAACAACTGAGCAACCATTGAGGTTGTGACAAGGAAATGTAACAAAGGTCCTGTTACTGATTGTTGCAGCCTTACTGGAAGCCAGGAGGAAATAGGAACATCATGTCCCCACTCCCTGATCACTGGGAGACAGGAGTTCCTTGTCACCACATGTTTGATTCCTGGTAAAATAAGTTTCGGAGGTAGGTACAATGATGGTAATAGTCTGACAATTGTGCCTATATTATTATTAATTTACTCTATTTGTATCCTGCCTTTCTCTACACCAAAGGGGACTGAAGGTAGCTTGACATATGGCAACTATTTATTGTTTGCGTTTTTGGTTTTATTTTATGTAATTATTGTCTGGGCTTGGCCTCATGTAAGCCGCTCCAAGTCCCCATTGGGGAGATGGTGGTGGGGTATAAATAAAGATTATTATTATTATTATTATTATTATTATTATTATTATTATTATTTGATGAACATTGACCTTGAGTTTTGGAATTGTAGTTTACCTACATCCAGAGAGCACTGTGGACTCAAACAATGATGTATTTGGACCAAACTTGGCATGAATACTCAATATGACTCAATGTGAACACTGGTGGAGTTGGGGGAAATGGACCTTGACATTTGGGAGTTGTACTTTCTGGGATTTATAGTTCACCTACAATCAAAGAGCATTCTGAACTCCGCCGACAATAGAATTGGGCCAACTTACTTACTTACTTATTTAGGCGATCCCTCGTTTTCCGAGGAGGATTGTCTTCCAATATTTTTGTGGGTCCGTATGTGGCTGTGGAGCCCTATTCTTGCTCTGCATCTTCTTCCGCAGTGAGGGCATTGGTTTCCAGGTGGAAGGCGGTCTCGGTCGGAGTTGGCTTGACGCCTTCCTCTTGACACGCTTCTCCCTTTCGCCCTCCATTCGTGCCTCTTCAAATTCTGCAGCACTGCTGGTCACAGCTGACCTCCAGCTGGAGCAGTCAAGGGCCAGGGCTTCCCAGTTCTCAGTGTCTACGCCACAGTTTTTAAGGTTGGCTTTGAGCCCATCTTTAAATCTCTTTTCCTGTCCACCAACATTCTGTTTTCCGTTCTTGAGTTCGGAGTAGAGCAACTGCTTTGGAAGACGGTGGTCGGGCATCCGGACTATGTGGCCGGTCCAGTGGAGTTGATGGCGGAGGACCATCGCTTCAATGCTGGTGGTCTTTGCTTCTTCCAGCACGCTGACGTTTGTCTGCCTGTCTTCCAAGAGATTTGCAGGATTTTCTGGAGGCAGCGCTGATGGAATCGTTCCAGGAGTTGCATGTGACATCTGTAGACAGTCCACGTCTCACAGGCATATAGCAGGGTTGGGAGGACAATAGCTTTATAAACAAGCGCCTTGGTATCCCTACGGATGTCCCGGTCCTCAAACACTCTCTGTTTCATTCGTAAAAATGCTGCGCTCGCAGAGCTCAGGTGGTGTTGTATTTCGGTGTCAATGTTGATATGGTGGAGAGGTGGCTGCCAAGGTAGCGGAAATGATCAACATTTTCTAATGTTACACCATTAAGCTGTATCACTGACATTGGAGAGGAGTTGGCTGGTGTCTGCTGGAACAGCACCTTGGTTTTCTCAATGTTCAATGGCAGGCCGAGCTTCTCGTATGCTTCTGCAAAGGTGTTTAGAGTGGCTTGTAGATCTTCTTCTGAATGCGCACAGACGACATTGTCATCAGCATACCAGAGTTCTATAACAGATGTTGTTGTAACCTTGGTTTTGGCTTTCAGTCTGCTGAGGTTGAATAGCTTGCCATCTGTCCAACAGATGATTTCCACTCCGGTGGGAAGCTTCCCACACAGAACCCCCATGCCTTGAAGGGACTTGTTGCCGTGAACCTCCCTTCCACCTTTCCCGCACATGCACACCATGCTGCCATGCACCGAGCATGCCTGCTCTCCCCTCTCTGCTTGTAGTCTCAGAAACAGTCCTCGTCTTGTACAAGAGGTTGACCAATCACATCAGAGGAGGGCTTTTGGTGCGAGGATTCACTGTCTGTTTACAAAAAGGAAGATAAGGACAGGTGGAGGGGTGTTCAGTTTTCTCTGCCAAAGGGGTTCCTAAGACCGTCAGGAATGTTTCCTGATGGCCTTTGGTGACCCCTCTCAAACCCCCTTGCAACCCCCCCAAGGGCCTTGACCCCCAGGTGGGAAATACTGATCTAGATTTTTTAGGAAGAAATGATGACCCAGGATTCTGTAGGATGCATGCAGCTTTGGAAGTTTTGTAAGTGTGTTGTGTGAAAGAAGCCTCTAGAGTTAGGCCAGAATAATGGTATGAACATTGACTCCAGACAAGTCCTGCTTTGCATTCAATCCTAGGCTATCTGGATTTACTCTAGAACAGGGGGCCTCAAACTTTTTAAACAGAGGGCCTGATCAAGGTCCCTCAAACTATTGGAGGGCCAGATTATAATTTGAAAAAAACATGAATGAATTCCAATGCACACTGTACATATCTTATTTGTAATGCAAAAAACACTTAAAAACAATATAATAATTAAAATGGAGAACACGTTTAACAAATATAAACTTAATTCATTGCCCGACTTACCGGGCAAGGCATGTTGCAGTGGGGGGTGCCCATCCCTCTGGCCATGTTGGTAGCAGGGGCTTCTCCTTCCCAGAAGCCCCTGCGTGGCGGGAAGTTTCCCGTCACTGGATCAGCTGGCCAACCAGCGGCCAGCCCCACCGAGCTCCTGGCATTGGCCAGGGGCTAGTTGCACCCTGTGCCCAGAAGCCTTAAATAGGAAGGCACCCAGGGGACGAGCCAAGATTTGAACGTCCTGCAGGCTCAAAAATACTTTGGGCCCCAATAGCATTGGCTAGATACCTCGGCTCTTTGTGCTCGGGTGTCCGGGAATCAGGCTTTTTTATTGGTTGTAGGCAACCAGGGTTGGCAGCAAGGGGCGTGGTGCCCCCCCCCCTTTTTTGTGGCATGTGGCATGGGCCCTGGATCTGGTTCTGGCCCTCCCCTACTGGCTGGGGAGGGAACATCCGGTGGTTTCCCAGGGGTGCCGTGTCTCGTGGCGGTGCCGGTGGGCCCCTGTTGGACTCATCAGGTATCGGTCAGCAGCGGGCTGATCGATCTTGATCCAGAACCCATGCCTAGCAGCCAACCCTGTGTTCCTGTAATTAATAAATTAAGCTGTGGCCATTTTTACTCCATCTATGTGTCCGTGTCATCTCTGGTTCTGCGGGTGGCAGGAGTGTTGCCCATCCACACACAAATTCATTGCCCAACTTACCAGGCAAGGCCTGTTGCGGTGGGGGGTGCCCATCCCTCTGGCCATGTTGGTAGCAGGGGCTTCTCCTTCCCAGAAGCCCCTGTGTGGCGGGAAGTTTCCCACCACTGGATCTTCTGGCCAACCAGTGGCCAGCCCCACCCAGCCCCTGGCATTGGCCAGGGGCTGGTTGCACCCCGTGCCCAGCAACCTTAAATAGGCTGCGCAGGGCCTAGCAGGTACCAGGCCTGCTTTGATTTGTCCCCCCACCCACCCTGCATGTTCATGTTTTTGTTCAGTGTTGCAGTTGTTGTTCATTATCTGTTTGTCACAACTCCGGTGGGCATGTGACATGGGCCCTGGATCTGGTTCTGCCCCTCCCCTACTGTCCGGGGAGGGAACATCCGGTGGTTTCCAGGGGTGCCGTGTCTCGTGGCTTGGTATTATGCCGGTGGGCCCCTGTTGGACTCATCAGGTATCGGTCAGCAGCGGACTGATTGATCTTGATCCAGAACCCATGCCTAGCAGCCAACCCTGTGTTCCTGTAATTAATAAATTAAGTTGTGGCCATTTTTACTCCATCTATGTGTCCGTGTCATCTCTGGTTCTACGGGTGGAAGGAGTGTCACCCATCCACACGCAATTAGCATTTCAATGGGAAGTGTGGACCTGCTTTTGGCTGATGAGATAGGATTGTTGTTGTTGTGTGCTTTCAAGTCGTTTCAGACTTAGGCTGACCCTGAGCGAGGGTGGGTAAATGACCTTGGAGGGCCGTATGCAGGCCTCTGGGCCTTAGTTTGAGGACCCCTGCTCTAGAACTTGATTGCAAGGGCCCTGACACTTTTCCTTGGGAAGAGTTAAACTACTCTTGAAAAGCTCCCAACATTTGATTCCAGCTCTCTGCCTCCACCAGCCTTGGCAGCAAACAAGCAATGCAGGGTATGCTAGGAAGTGGCTTGTAAAAGCCAGCTCCACCCCTGGGATGCTCCTTTTGGATATTTCTCCTCCTCCACCACCACCTCATCCTCCTCCTCATTCTGGAGTGCCGGGAGGAGCCCTAAAAGCTTGATGGCTCTGAACTGAGGAGGAGAGAGTGTCAATGCCGCACATGGAAGGAGCAGACAGAGGAAGGGTCTGTAAGGAAGACAGGACTCCCAGCAGGTAAACATTCTTGACAGGGTGGGATGACAAGGAAGAGGGATCATGTCTTTGAACCCTTCTGTTGAGGAAAAGGAGAGGTGAAATCCTTCCCTGTCTCATGGGAAACAACTTAGATATATTGTTGGAGGAAAGTGGGAGTAGGAAACAGAGAGGAACAATGATATATGTGAGCCAAAACTCATCAAAGCTGAGCTGTGGAGTCTTTCTCAATGCCAGTTCTCAGTTTCACACTGAGTAAAAAAATCTACCCTGTGAAGGTTTCTTATGCTGAATCAACAGATTTGACTACTATCATACGTTTGTGGGGATGGGGACAAGGTTCTGCAGACTCAAAGAGGCAAGTTAGAGACATGCCAGAGCCTGACTGCTGCTTTCCCTGAAATTGAGCCAAATGTGTGAAAGTATCAATTTGCAAAAAAGGGAAACACCTGGAATTTTGTAGGACCAAAAGTATGCAAAAATGAGAAGAGGTATTGGGGAGGGTTGGGTCTGTAGAGTCTATATGTGTGTGAGAGAGAAAGAGTGAGAGAGCAAGGAGAGAGGGAGAAAGGAGAATGAAAGAGAAAAAAGGAAGAGAGAAAGCTAGGGAAAGCATGTGAAAAAGATTAGTAAGTTTTCTCATCCTAGATTAGAAACTTTTTTTTTTTGTATCAGAAGCAACTTGAGAAACTGCAAGTCGCTTCTGGTGTGAGAGAATTGGCTGTCTGTGAAGACGTTGCCCAGGGGATGCCCAGATATTCTGATGTTTTGCCATCCTTGTGGGAGGCTTCTCTTATGTCTCCGCATGGGGAGCTGGAGCTGACAAAGGGATTAGAATCGCTGACCTATAGGTCAGCAGTCCTGCTGGCACAAGGATTTAACCCACTGAGCCACCAGGGGCTTGAGAAGCCGAGAAACTGCAAGTCGCTTCTGGTGTGAGAAAATTGGCCGTCTGCGAGGACGTTGCCCAGGGGATGCCCGGATGTTTTGATGTTTTTCCATCCTTGTGGGAGGCTTCTCTCATGTTCCTGCATGGGGAGCTGCAGCAGACAGAGGGAGCTCATCGGCCTTCTCTCTGGATTCAAACCAGTAACCTTCGGGTCAGCAACCCAACCTTCAGGTTAGCAGCCCTGCCAACACAAGGGTTTAACCCAGGGGTCCTCAAACTAAGACCCGGGGGCCGAATATGGCCCTCCAAGGTCATTTACCCGGCCCTCACTCAGGTTCAACCTAAGTCTGAAATGACTTGAAAACACACAACAACAACAATCCTATCTCATCAGCCAAAAGCAGCCCCACACTTCCCATTGAAATACTAATAAGTTTATATTTGTTAAGATTGTTCTTCATTTTAATTACTGTATTGTTTTAAAGTGTTTTTTGCACTACAAATAAGATATGTGCAGTGTGCATAGGAATTCATTCATGGGTTTTTTTGCCAATTATAATCTGGTCCTCCAACAGTTTGAGGGACTGTGACCTGGCCCTCTGATTAAAAAGTTTGAGGACCCCTGGTTTAACCCATTGCGTCACTAGGGGCTCCATTAAAAACAATGTCATGACACAAGATACTCTAGTGGGGAAAACTGTCAAATATCACATTTTTCACTTGTATTTGAGCAAGTGGATTAGACCTTTTTTCCTATCATCAGCAGCAAAAGAGGGCAAAACATCTTATTTGTGTCCCAAACATCAGCCTTTATAGTTAGTCCCAATCACCATAAAGCCATTGGGTCAATTGCCTGGACCTGCTTGTTAGCTCACCAATCTGCAGTTGACTCTGTGAGTCTACTCTAAATTGAGATAAAAGAAGAGGATCCCAAACTTAGAATTTTACATGCACAATCCTTGCATTTTATGGGGGGAAATTGGGATTTTTTCCCCCACAAAATGTCACATTTTCACAAAAAGCTTCTCAGATGGATTGAAAAATGTCAGAAGCTCAATATTGGGGAGAACAAGTGTTGTTTTTGTTATAGAATCATAGAATCAAAGAGTTGGAAGAGACCTCTTGGGCCATCCAGTCCAACCCCCTGCCAAGAAGCAGGAATATTGCATTCAAATCACCCCTGACAAATGGCCATCCAGCCTCTGCTTAAAAGCTTCCAAAGAAGGAGCCTCCACCACACTCCAGGGCAGAGAGTTCCACTACTGAACGGCTCTCACAGTCAGGAAGTTCTTCCTAACAAGAAAACAATAAGTAAAATTCACAATCCAGATTGGTAGGGGCAGAGGAAAAAAGAACAAATTTGGGGAAAATGTTGCATATTCATTATACATTCAGATGAAGCAGACCCTACGAAAACTTTGCTTCCATATCTCTCTTTAGTGTCATTGTCACTCTGTAGCAGAGGTGAGAAAGCCTGACGGTTCCAAGGATGGCAGTTCCAAGAGACACACAATAGGCTTCATCAGCATCCTAACTACAACAGAAATGGTCATATATCCTCTTCTCATTGGGGAGTAGCTTGAAGGACTTGTTCCCTATTTTATTTTTAAAATGCCACTCTATTTCACTAGTCAGCATATTTGCACACAAATCCCAGTAGATGAACATTGTTATGTCTCACACCTGGAATACTGTGTCCAATTCTGGGCACCACAATTGAAGAGAGACATTGACAAGCTGTAATGTGTCCAGAGGAGGGTGACTCAAATGATCAAGAGTCTGGAGAACAAGCCCTATGAGGAGTGGCTGAAAGAGCTGGGCATGTTTAGCCTGCAAAAGAGAAGGCTGAGAGGAGACATGATGAGGGCCATGTATAAATATATGAGGGAAAGTTATAGAGAGGAGGGAGCAGGCTTGTTTTCTGCTGCCTTGGAGACTAGGACGTAGAAGAATGGCTTCAAACGACAGGAAAGGAGATTCCATCTGAACATGAGGAAGAACTTCCTGACTGTGAGACTTGTTCAGCAGTGGAACTCTTCACCTCGGAGTATGGTGGAGGCTCCTTCTTTGGAGGCTTTTAAACAGAGGCTGGATGGCCATCTGTCGGGTGTGCTTTGAATGTGATTTTCCTGCTTCTGGGCAGGGGGTCGGACTGGATGGCCCACGAGATCTCTTCCAACTCTATGATTCTATAATTCTAACATGAAATTCAATTTATTTATTTATTTAGTACTAGCCGTCCCCTGCCACACGTTGCTGTAGCCCACATGGGGGTTCTGTGTGGGAGGTTTGGCCCAATTCTATCATTGGTGGGGTTCAGAATGTTCTGTGGTTGTAGGTGAACTATAAATCCCAGCAACTACAACTCCAAAATGTCAAGATTGTATTTTCCCCAAACTCCACCAGCATTCACATTTGGGCATATTGAGTGTTCGTGTAGAGTTTGGTCCAGATCCATCATTGTTTGAGTCCACAGTGATCTCGGGATGGAGGTGAACTACAACTCCAAAACCAAAGGACACTGCCCACCAAACCCTTCCAGTATTTTCTGTTGGTCATGGGAGAACTGTGTGCCAAGTTTAGTTCAATTCCATCGTTGGTGGGGTTCAGAATGCTCTTTGATTGTAGGTGAACTATAAATCCTAGCAACTACAACTCCCAAATGACAAAATCAATTTTTTTTAGTGAAGGACATACATTGGATTGTTAGGTGTCTTGTGTCCAAATTTGGTGTCAATTCGTCCAGTGGTTTTTGAGTTCTGTTAATCCCACAAACGAACATTACATTTTAATTTATATAGATACTCAACAGTAGATTTTGGAACAGGGCTGGTCAACAGCAAAGGGACTGGAAAATAGTTATGGAGAGATACAAAGATACACACACACACACACACACACCCAACATGCGAAACATTATTTTGTGTATGCACATTTAACAACAACTTTCTGTGATTTTCAACCTCTATTGCAGTTCGGAGAGCATGGCAGTTCATTTGAAGCTAATTTTCCCAGGTTTCTAGTGATAAGCTAATGGATACTTAGAGAGGTTGTTATAGTCAGATGGTTTAAATCTGATGAAAGATTCGTTATATCCTCAAAGTGTGGTTGGACCACACCTCCCTTCAGTCCTAGCAGCATAAACCAATGGTGATGAATGCTGGGAATTGCAATCCAACCATCTCCTGGTTTATTCTTTATAGGAGGGGGGATTGGACTGAGTTCAGGCACACTTGCCATTTCTCTGTGAGTGGACAGCTGGGCTCCTTCTTCTGGACATTGCTGCATTTCTGCATTGGCAATTAAATTTAGTTGTTGAACATTATGTGGCAGCCAAGCGCTAAAGTGTCATTTGACAAACAAAACTGTCATTTGGCAAATAAGTTGGCAATTAAAACCCAGAAGCCAAAGCCATGCCTGCACTGTGCGAAGTCATCTAATAGAGCTCCTCTTTAAAGATAAACACTGGTATTTGGTTGTGCAGTTATCGATTCATAACCTAGTGTATTTGTGACCTGTGTATTCAGGAAACGTTCATGGTCTTACTGTAAACCTACATGAATGCCGTCTCAGCCTATCTTGAGACCCAGCTGTTGTGATGAAGGCTTGATGAAAATACATAATTCATATATTGGAAAATATATATTTGATGTAACCATATTAGAAATGCGTGACCACATTTCCATCTACGAACCCACGCGTTCTCTTCGGTCATCGGGAGAGGCCCTGCTCGTGATCCCACCAGCGTCGCAGGCGCACCTGGTGGGGACGCGGGACAGGGCCTTCTCCGTAGTGGCCCCCCAACTCTGGAACACCCTCCCCAAAGACCTTAGACAGGCCCCTTCATCGGCTATCTTCAGAAAGAACTTAAAAACCTGGCTTTTCCGATGCGCCTTCCCAGATTAGGAAATCTCCACTACCGAGTCCCACAAGCACTTTACCAAAACCAATGATTGCTGCACATCGCACATCGCACTTGCCCTAGTAACCCTCTATACACCTCCTGTCAAATCAGCACTTTTAATCCTTGTACCCACCTTTTGGCCCGGCCCAGTTTTATTGTGTTTTAATGTACTGTGCTTGTTGTTTATTTTGCTTTAATTTGTTTTAATTGTTTGATTTGCTTGATTGT